GATGCAATATACATATTTACCAGGATGTGACATCGCTATGATTAAAGGCACCGACAGTGCAATATATATATTTCACCGGAAGTAATGCTTGGCTTGTTCAGTTGTGATAGCAATGATAACAAAAGGTCATTTGTAAAATAGCAGATTTTGTACTATGAAATAAACTGATATAGTAGTAGTCTTTATTTTTGCATGGATTTGATTGAATTGCATGCCCATTATATTCCAGAATGATTTCAGTCATTGCGACGACCTTTCATCAACAAGTGTAGCTCCCACCAGTCAATTCGAGATGAATTCTGCACCTGTAGGCTGGGGAATGGTCTGGCTAGCGAGACTATCTAGGAACATCTAAGGAGTATTCTTTACTGCCGGTAGCATTTCTACCACCACACCGCCGCCATTCAGTAAGTACCTTCGTATCTCTAATAGTGTCTAAGGGTTCAAGACCTGTACAAATTTCTTACATTTCATCAACACTAACGCGGGCTAACCCTTCTTGAGCGCTTTAGACATTTTCATTCGCTTCTTTTGCTGGTTTTTTCTCGTGGTTCTCCTTCTTCAGCCATATTGGTGCCTTACAGGCCTACCACGTGCTACTGAGCATGCGCATAACCTTTCCTTCTTATGGCTTCCCATTATACAAGCATGACCTTTTCCTCGTGGGTGTATCAGATATAGATAGGTTGCAGTAGGCGTGGCCAATCATTACGTCCGCCATGTTGGAGTACAACTCGGAGTACAAGTGCAATGATAATGTCATGACTTTTGTTAACAATTCGCTTTTTAGGAGCTAATGAGCTGGAACAGAAACGCTGATTGATTGACCTAGGTAGCTACGGCAGTGAGAGAGAAAAAAGAAGTAGATGAAGCAATAGTTGACCACTCTGTGACACCTGAAGACCTGAAACTGACTAGACTACTTAGTACTGCAATGACTTTCACACACAACAAATGCACATTTATTTCTGTTTTGGTTTTGAAAGAGGAGCCTGGGAACAGTATAAAAGTAGAGCTAGCGAGCGAGAATATGGGAGTGACTAGTTATGTTTAGACTCTAATAGTTGTGACTAGTGACAGTAGTGAGTCTAAGAGCGCGAAGAAGCAGCTAGCCCAGAACACTTGCACTGAAGCAGCTACAGTTGTTCCTGGCTACATCAGTACTCTTTGCAAGACTCTACTTCCATAATGGTCAATTTCTGTGCTGTTATTGGCTGCTCTAACAGAGCAGATAGGGACAAGAACAAATCCTTTTTTCGACTACCATCCGTCATACCGTCT